TTGGAGATTTTTTCTTCAATCTTGATGCTTAAGAAGCAAGCGGGTCCCCTCCCCGGGCGTAGGCGGGCATACTACCTGTCTCCTCGCCCGGGCTTTAAGCTTTTAGATGAACTCCCCAACAAGGTCCCAGCATGGAAGTGGGATTATTTCGGGGTGTGAAGTGTGTTGGGGTGGCCGTTTCAGACCGGGTGGGGGATGGATGCTCCTGACTCCGGGGTCACGCTTGACAAAGAGACGGCGAAGGGCCCTCGGCAATGGGCGCGGCTTGGGCTGAAGTGCCAACAGTATCTGACGGAGGCCAAGCTCATTGCGGCCGGCCTGAGCTCGGGTAGGTTCTTCACTTAGATATTCTGTCTTGCTGTCTTTCTTGCTTTTTACTGATGGCGAACCTCTTTTCGCAGGTGTGATGGACTCTCGAGGGACCCGTGGTGGGCACTTGTTCCAAGGCATGAAGAGGAGAAAGCGGGTTGCCAAGTGAACTTGCGTCAAGATGCCCCGGAATGTGGAACCCAAGGTGCCGGACTATCCGTCAGAAGATCTGCCAAGGGAGCCCGAGATGGTTCCTCCAATGCAGGAGCCGACAGGGGTCCCTTATGCTGAGACTACTTACACAGGGGCTCCTACATACTCCGGTGCTCCTGCTAACTCCGGGTCTGCTCATACGCCAGCTGGGCCCTCAGGCTCGGGGGCCCCGGGGGATTTCCGGAGTGTGCTGTCGCCGACCCATGCCCTTCAAAAGAGTAAGGGGGCCATTTTCCCCGAGGAGGTCGCAGCGTGGACTGATCTCCCTCTGCATCAAGTGGCCTGTCGTGCCGTTACCCATGCCATGGTGGTAAGTGTTCTCCCTTTTTTAGAGCTCTTTGGCTTTCGTTTTGTTGGTTCTTTTGATCACTCGGTTCTTTTTGGTAGGTGAATTCTTCTATTCACGCATTGGCGGCTCAGGTGGAGAGGAGCTCGAGGCAGGCGTGATCTGCCAAAGAGGCTCTTCGCGCTGCTGAGACGACTTCGCGAGCTGCTGAAGCGGCTGCTCGCGCTGCCGAGGAGGCTGCTCGTGCTGCCGAGGCGGTTGCTCGTTTTTCACGGATCAGGCAGGCGAGGTCTCAGAGAGATGCCGAGGCCATCGGAGTGGTGGTGAAGCACATGGCGGACTTGAGGCTGGATCTGCAGCATCAGGTTGAGTACCTTTAGGAGGACATCAGGCTGCGAACTCAAAGTGTAGTGCGTATTCCAATTTTGTTCCGCTCGGGCCGCGTAGCACTATTCCAACCCCGCTAGCCTGCTGGTTCGAGGAGTTATCTACGTGAAGGATCCAGGGCTCCTCGTCCCAGTTCGCGTTTGGCCTAAGTAGGAGAGATGCTACACTGGCTGCTACTTCACGGGGTTCAGACTCTGTTGGCCTAGGAGCTCCGAGCTCGCCCGAACTGGGGATCCCGGGCTCGATCGGCTTAGGGGCTTCGAGGCTAAACGTGCACTCGGCGATAAAATCTGCCAAGGCTTGGGCCTTAATAGCAGTTCTTGGCTTGTATTGGAGGTCGTACTCGCTGAGTTCGATGGCCCATTTCGTTAGTCGACCGGCCGGTCTTAGCTGTCAATGAACTAGCCTCTGAACGGAGTGGTGGGGAACCTGAAACGGAGAAGATGAGAAAGCTCCGGGGGGGGACCCGGTGTGGAGGCTCCGAAGCTCAAGTTAGAATCCTTCAAAGGCAAGATAAAACCAGATAGCGCAAAGTTTGCATACATCGTTCTTGGGGGGTAGAGTGCCTTTTATAACCACCTCGCACATTCACTCCTAGGCTTCTGTCAGGTCGGGTATGATTGCTTCCGTGCTTTTGCCAGTTCGGGTGTCATCACCTCTGCTGGGGCAGAACCGCCACTACTCTTTTTGTTGGAGCCGTCTCTGTAACTGGAGATGGCGGTGGCAGGTGGTGGTGGCAGGAGGCCGTTGAAGTGCGGCTGTCAAGCGTCAGATCCCAAGTCAGTCAGGTGCGCCGCCCCTGGATACGGACTCCTTCAGTGTCAAGTACGGTGTGGTTTGTTTAGTTCGGCATCTTGGAGGCGAAGTGCTGGAGTGGTGTGCGAGGTGAAGTCTTGAGTTCGGATAGAGGAGTGTCCCGAACTGCCATGAGGCGGGCCAGTTCGGGTCACTGCTTTGTGTGGCTCGAGGCCTAAGGGAGAGTTCGGGCTCCTCGTAGGGAGTTCGAGCTCTTAGTAGGGAGGTCGGGCTCNTCTGTCAGGTCGGGTATGATTCCCTCTGGGCTCCTGCCAGTTCGGGTGTCATCCCCTCTGCTGGACAGAACCGCCACTGCTCCCTTTTGTCGGAGTCGTCTCTGCGACTGGCGATGACGGTGGCAGGTGGCGGTGGTAGGTGACCGTTGAAGTGCGGCTATCAAGCATCAGATCCCAAGTCAGTCAGGTGCGCCGCCCTTGGATACAGACCTCCTCGGTGTGAGGTATGGTACGTTTGTTTAGTTCGGCATCCTGGAGGAGAAGTGCTGGAGTGGCGAACGAGGTGAAGTCTTGAGTTCGGATAGGGAAGTGTCCCGAACTGCCATGAGGCGGGCCAGTTCGGGTCACTGCCTTATGTGGCTCGAGGCCTAAGGGAGAGTTCGGGCTCCTCGTAGGGAGTTCGAGCTCTTAGTAGGGAGGTCGGGCTCCTCGTAGGGAGTTCGGTCTCCTTGAAGGGAGTTCGGACTGCTGGTTTCTTCCCTTTGGTGCTTGCGCCCTGGGTACGTTGCTTTAAGTGCTGAGCTATTTGTTTTTGCCACGTGGAGTGATTGCGAAGTCGGGCCAAATCTTCCTTCATCAGATACCATTAAATGAAAGTAGTGGGTAGAAAAAATTAATTTGTGAGGGGGATTTTTTTTGCTTACCTTTCTGTAAGTGGTACCCTACATCTTCTTCAATGGTCCAATTGGCTTCGTTGCAGAGTGCTTTTAGGACCTCATTGTTGTTGCAATGCTTCTGAATGTAGAAAAAGGATTGGGATAGGGAGAACGTTAGACTTTAACATGTCATTTCTGTGCGATCGAACGATGCGGATATGTGGGAAATCAGGGTGGTCAATGAATAACTCATAGGATTAGAAGAAGTTGGGGTTTGTAATTGATTTCCCTGATCTTACTAAAGATAGCAAAGAAACCAAAGGGATTTAGATCAGCAGAGTTAGGGTTTTGTGGGAAGTCAAGGGAATTGAATGGTTTCAGGGAGGAGATCGTGTTGGATATGAAACCAAAAAAAGAAACGCTTCTATGGTGAAAGGAGGACCACCTAGGAAGTTGTAGTGGCTGTGGTGATTTAGTTTGAACTACAAAAAATAGGGAAACTAAAGAGAATCAAGAGAGAGAAAAACGAGAAAGGGATAGAGAGAGAATGAAATAGAGAAATTGAAAGGATGAAATGAGAGAAAATGAGAATGGAATCACCACCCTTGGTTCAACAGTGATAGAGGAGACCGGAACCGAAGGAGGAGAAGAAGAAGAATAATGTGAATGGGTATTTTAGGAATTTAAAGAAAATATATCAGTCATGTGATAGTACATGTGAAAGGAATGTAATGAAAAGTTAACCACATGAGAGATTTTAGACAATTGTCAAAAAACTTCAGAGTACTTAAAGATAATATGTAAACAGTATGAATAGATTTAGTCAATTTCTTAAATCATAGGAATACTTTTAGAAATTTTCCCTAAAAAAAAAAAGAAAATGGCCCAAAACTTCTTGCTATGCGCAGCAAGACTCTTTATATTGTTTTCTATGCACGTGGCAAGTTTCAGCTTTTTATCACCCCGGCAACATACCATGGAAGTTAAAAATTAATGGGGCAAACGTGGAGGAAGGAGGAAGATGGCAAGCTGAAGCTATAGATGCTCATAGGTTCCTCATCAAATAAATAACCTCAAACTGCCTTCTCATTTCCCACGTGCCATGTGGCAAAAGAGACATGTCAATATAATAGAAATTAGTTTTTGTTTGGTGTATCATACCATTGCTATATTACAAAGTCAAGTATGAACCTCTATTAAGGAGGGAAGTTAGGCATGAATTAATTTTCCTCCTAGAGGAGAAGAAATACGAAAAAGAAGTGAAAAAATGATAAAAATCCCTTAAGTAGTTTTTAAAGCTTAAAAGAGCACCCATTCGGTACTAGAGCTATTTATTTAATTTCATAAAAGGTGTCACCATGCATGGAAGCATTAGCCCCGGTTTCAAAATAATAATAATAATAATAAAAAGAAAAAGAAAAAATAAAAACTAAATTTTAAAGCTACATAATTCACAAATACAAAGAACGACAAAAAAAAAAAGTAATTATCTCAGAAAGAGTGAGGCTAAAGCTAAAAGGCAGAATAGATTTGCATCTGATTCAAGATGTGTTCAAAGTTGTCGGTAGACTTCTCAATAGGATGGGTATGCATCCCTTCGTAGGTTGTCACCACAATTCCTTCATCTTTGGATAGCCGTTGAACTTGCTTCTTCACGTTGCATCCTTGGTGCGTACACCGATAGTAGCTTCTACAAATAAGAAACAACAACAAAAAAAAGTATTAGTTAATTGATTTGAATGAAATATATTTTCAAACATTTGGTGTTCAACAATTTCTAGAAGAGGAGTACTCACATGTTCATATGTTGTGGACTTAGTGATAAGAATGGGTCCCATCATTATAATATATATATATATATATATATATATATATATTGTGTAACATCTACACTAAAATATGCAATTCTTTATTTAATTACAATGTTCATGTCATGATATCATTAATAAGGTAAAATAAGAAATGTTTCATTCCAGAGATGTCCTCCTATTTATGGATTTCGTTGTCAACTAGATAGGTCCGAATAGAGGGCCAAAGCTATTTCACTTGTACAGTAAATCCTTGGCGGTCAGATTTATTTGTTGTGTTAGTGCCACCATGTGAAATAACTAAATTAAAGCTAATAGTAAATGCATAATAGAATATTTTGTTACTTTGTTTTAAATTGATAAAATAAAGTTATTGTGCTTTTCATGACAAATTGAAGGCTACTAGTTTAGTCTCAATGTGTCCACTTAGATATTGGTGGAATTTTTTATGCAATGCCAATACATGATGCACGTCTAAGATAAGGTTGCAGTGGTACTGTATTATGCTTCACAGTGCGGGAAATCTCCCAATATTAATTGTGAAGGTCTGGATCAGGGAAGAACCAGCGAGAGAATAACCCTCCTCTTTGCACTTCTAGCTAGGGCCGTACTTCCCCTCGAATTGAAAAGTCTGAGTTTACTCTCATAAACTTCTGTTGAGAGCGTGTAACAGGGAGCAGAGAGAGAAACAAATTTCTATCAAACTTTTGAACTAATACAAAACAAAACGACACCGTCTGCCCGCCTGGACCTCTTTTTCAGCTGCAGCTTCAACACAGTAACAATTTCTTTCAACTTTGTTTTGTTTTCTAAAATCAGAAAATATAAAACATCTTTTTGATTAATGGGAAACACAAAATTAGTTGAAAGAGAATAAACATAATCAGTATTAATTAACTCAACAACAATAATCCACTTCATCCTCATGACCGAGCCTTTAGGCAGACATTAATCCAACTTCACGCGAGCATACTTCCTTTCATCATGGGCTTGTAATGCTAATATTGGTACTGATGAGAAGACTTTGTTGTATCATGAACGTGTTAGCGTGGAAGAGTATAAATACAAATATGTACTGTACAAATACAATATTTAGAAATATAAGAATACACTTTGGTGTATCATGAACGTATTCAATCGTGTTTTAATTTTCATCGTCTCTGAACATGTATGTAGATCAGTAAACAAGTGTATTCAAATATCTTGCTTCAATTCCCTTATTCTATGCTTCATCTACTTTTACAAAATTCTCTATTTTTCTTGTAATGAACTCGTGATATATACCACTCCAATATTGAAAACCCTTTTGAGAATTTGATTTTTGTGGCCTTTATCTCTTGAGTGAGATACAAAATTATAAACTAGCTAGCTTGTCCCCAACATCCATGTGGCTGATGAAACTCTAATTAATACTCTTTCTAATAATACTTAAACACCACCGGCCCATTTTAGGTGATTAACGTACAGCAACTCATAAGAACTGGTAACTAGCTAACCTATATGATCGTTTGATGATTTGGTATATGGTAATTAAATAAGTATACTTGCAGATATTAAGAACAGGAACATGTTACATTAATATCGCGCAATAGTAGCTTTCAACAAGAGCTAGCTCCTGGTGATAAATAAGTGGAACCTTATTCATAAAAGTACCCTGGCTGGTGGATTAGTTTATGTTCCACAGGTTCAATGTCTTTATTAGGTGGGTGGAATTTTAACTTTTTAAGCGAAATTGTGGGAAGGAAATGGAAGAGATAAAATTGGTGACAAGATATTTGAAATGAAAGAAAAATCAAACTGTATACATAATTCACAGAAATGTAAATAGAAAATAAATAAAAGATAAGAAAGAAGAACTAACCGAGGAAATTTGTTGTTCTTCACAGCCTTTTGGCCATATTTCCTCCATCGATATCCATCATCAAGTATATCGACGTGGCTTCTTGTTTGAAAAGCATATCTGGGCTTTCTAATCTTCTTCTCCCCCTTTTTGATACCTAGTTTCATCTCATTTTTAGGCCCACCAAAGCTCTGAATCTGAGGAAGGGTGGTTGTAAAGTCGTCGGAGCTAAGTGGGGTATCCATCTCCGACTTCAATCCTAAGAACCCAGGTGGATTGTTTCCATGAAGATGGTTAATAACATGAGAAGTCACCATGTTAGATGAGAATGGAATAGCGGTTGCTAACGATGATGATGATGAAGAGGAGAGGAGTATTGGGTAGTTCTCCATGTCCATGAGATGGAGAGGTTGCAGAGAAAAGCGATCGACGAGCTGCTAGCCAAGCTTTGGTTGAAGAAGAGAACTGAGGATGAGGTTTATGTGAAAAAAGAGGTGGGGTCGTGAGAAAGAAAAGGAGAGGCGGCTAATGGCCAATTAACTGTCCAATTTCATCAGTGGAATGTAAAAGCAGTGGAGATGGATGCAGAATTGAAGACGAGGGTAGTAGGTTGATAAATAGCTATATGATTTTAGAGAAAGGATAGGTGTCGTAAACGGCACGTAAAATGGTGTTGTAACCGTGGATGGATTTAGATCGATTAACAGACAACTCTTATGCAATAAAAAGCAGGAATTAATTAATTTGTGTCGGCTTCCTGATTTCTTTTTTTTGGTAGATATGATTAAGATTTTATGTACTGTGAACTATGTAGGTCCCTGTATTTTCCATTTATAAACACTATGCATGTATGTACGTACTTAATCGGAATATATGCCACAGAAATAGGTTTTCTATGTATACGGTGGTAATTATTAAGGTTATGTAATCTGTCGCTCTCCAGACTCCAGACTCCATATCCATATTGGTGGGAGCCGACACTGGGTTGTCCTTATATTTGCCTTATTTATACACTGCTTACCTCCTTAATTAACTAGTAATGAATTAATATCCTTTCATTTATTTTTGATTTTTGACTAGTTGTAGCGGAGACCTGAGATGGTTGGGCGAATTAATTAAGGGGAACGAGATGGGTTTAACCCCCAAAATATAAAGGTGGTCAATATTGTCTGATTATAAAACCCGGCCCCTGAATTTATTCGTTCATTTGTGTATTTGAAAAAAGAAGAAGAAAATAGTAATAGTAAAATGTTCAAACTAGTGTAGTCAGTCAATCGCATCGTTCTGCTTCATAGAAGCTTCTTCTTACACTAGCCAAAAATCAATAAGTAGACGACACAAAAAAGAGGGTCGGGCCTGAGTCTGTGAATTTCTGTGGTGGGTACGTAGTGACGACTGACGGCGGCGGCTTGAACCTCTAGTGAAGTTAAAAAGCAAATAAACATGAAAACGTATGTCAGTTTTAGTTGGCTTTGAAATTTGAATAGGGAGAGGTGGAAAGTGAGCTGTTGAATGGAAATGGGCCGGGTCACCATCACTCCATCTGGATTTCATTTTTTTCGTTTTCGTACCTCCCTCTCACGTGCACGAATATGTCATTAGCATCTAGGTTAATGTTTGTTTAATCAATAAAATAAATGAATTAGAGATGAAAGAAATAATAATAAAGCAAAGTGATACACTAACGCAAACGGCAAACGCATTAGTTTGGTAGGTAGTAGTGCACGGAGGGAGCAATTAGTAGGTTTGAAGTCTCCAAAATCCAATCCCAATATCCCCCATCCCATGTCGTATAATTATGAAAACATGTGGGTTTGAAGTTTGAACTTTCAACCCACTGTCCTGGGGGCCTGGACTTTGTTTATTTTGGTCCGGTCGGGTGGTCCACGCGCAGCCCTAGCCCCACACCAGCCCAGGGATAATATAGGGAATACATCCATCTTTATTTTGAATTGACAAATGCTTGGTTTGGCAGATAGCAGGGTTCCTCAATCCTCCCCTTTTAAAAGACTAAAAATTAAAATACTTTATCTCCAGTAACCGGGTAAAAAGAAAAACAAAACAACGGTCCTAGCCTTGTTGACCAGAAGAATCGGGTCTACAAAGGAATTGTATCGACGGGTGCGACAGGAAATTGCAACTCCTCGCCCTCGGCCCTCTCTCTCTCTCTCTCTCTCTCTCTGGCAGGGGATGTGGATAATAAGACAAAAACACTTGATTTTTGTAATGATCTGTTGCAAGTCCAAGTCATTAGAACGGGTAGGGGTAGATACGAGCTGGTTAGTAAGAAATGATTTAAGCCAACGATCAAATATCAATACACAGCCACTCCTAATTAAAATTAAAAAGTATTGATACATCTCCAAAGGAGAACCTTGTATTTTTAATTTTTCTTAAATTTCAGCTTGAGCCTATTATATATATATTTCTGTTTTAATTATTAAAAATACCTTTAACCTAAAAAATACAATATGATACTCTGATACCGTATCTAAACTTTGAACCCTAATTTAAGCACTGATAATTTAACAATGAATTTGGCATTAAATAGAAGGGAATGAAGATACAGGATTCATGCAAGTGACTCTATATATTTAGAATAGTACCTGGATGATGATGATGATGATGATGGTAAGGTGCCGGCAAAGTATCATATTAATTATGGCAGAGATTTAGGATCCCATCCCACCTACACCTGGGTTTGGGGGGCTTATGGGTTGGGGAAAGAAAAAGATGGTACTTGAATGATGATAATAGGACTTGATTTTTGAGCACCCATCTTCCTAATGTGTGACTGGATGTCCATTATGTATAGAGTTTTGCTTGTTAGGACATCTTTTTTTTTTTATGGATATATAAGCAAATTCAATGGGTGGTAAGCTAAAACTCCAAATGGTTTCTTTGGTTCCTCTAACAAGTATTGTTTTCTGAGGTTCCTTTCCTCTTTTGACTAAAAAAACAAGTATAAGTGCATAACTAATAAGTAATATTGCGAGCCGTCATGGCATAAATAAACAAACAAATAAATAAATAAAAGCCTTCGTCATCTAATAATATGTTTTCCTTCTTCCATAATCCACTCTTGATCAATATATGTGGCCACTAGATGGGGTGCTTGAAAAGTGCACAGTTCATGACTGCTTGATAGGCTGTGTGCATCAGAAAAAAACTAAATAAGTTTCTTAATTCCGAAAAATTGGTCCATTCGTCATTGGCTATTTAAACCAGGTTCAAAATTTCACAACATATTGGTTGTATCTTTAAGGGGTTGGCACGGAAAGTGCTACAAAATTCTTTGTATTGTCTCTTTTTGTTGTGCCGATCCCGTATAGGGGGTATCAGAGTGTATTGGGGGTGTATCAAAGTGTATCGATGGATACAGTATGACTTTTTTTGTAACCTAAAAACAAATTAAAAACTTTTAAGAAAAAAAACAAATGACTTTTAACTCTCTCTAAAAGCCTTATTTCTCTCCCAAACTCACCAAATCATCTTTACACATTTTTTGGTTGTAAGACCTTAAAAAAAAACCCAAAAAGAACTTCTAAAACACAAGATTTTTTAAGTTTTTTCAACTTTTTTCAAAAATAGGTATTTTTTCAACTATTTGATAATATGTTGCAATATTTTGTATTTTTATTTTGTTTTGATGCTTGGAAATGCTTGTATATAGATTAATATACTCTTCTTGTGTTGATAATCCTATATATTTTTGTGCTTTAAATAGATCTATGTAATTTTTAAAGAAAATTCAGAAAAATATAAAATAACAAAAAAAGAAAATTTTATACTTTTGGTGTAACCTAGCCATAAATACTAATTGTGTCATAGATCTATGGGTAATTTACCATCTTCATAGATCTATTGAAATTTCTGTAAAATATTCATTTTTTTGTAATTTTTAGAAAAAAATATTTATTATTTATATTTTTGTAAAACAAAGAATATTTATTTTTTAAAACTTTTTGTAATTTAAAATAAAAATGTTTATCTTTTCTATTTTTTAATTCATAGATCTATTGAAATTTGTTGTGAAATATTTATGCTGGTCCTGCCCCTATATTTGTGTAAATCCTATCTATATTTTAACTCCATCCATATCTCTTTATAAGCTTTTGCCCCCTCCCAATCCTTGTTTACTAGCTTTTGGCCCCAAGAGAAAAAATCCTGGCTGACCCTCTCTAATGTCATTTGTAGAAGCAATCTCTAAGGGTCCGTTTGGTTTTGTAGTATTCCGACCATTCCTATAATCTGTTTGGTTTAGACAAGAATGAGAATGAGATTTCATTCACGAGGAACAGGGAATGGTCATTCTCACAAATGGAAGAATGTCAATCCAGCAGGAATGAGAATGGGAATAAGAATAGGAATGAGATTTCAATTCTGCCCAGCCAAACAGTTGGTATCGGAATAGCCCATTAGGATCCCAATTCCATACCCTTATTCCTGCGAATCACACAGGGCCTAATGATTTTACAACCATGGTATGTGAGAGGAAGAGAGTTTCTTTTCTTCGGGAAGATGATATGTCTCAAACCATTCTTTTCATTTTTCATTGCTATATGGACACCGGATTGTTAATACCCTGATTACTCTCATAATCCTCGATTGGGGAGTTTGCTGGCTTAATTCACATATGGAGAGCTCAAGGTTTGAGGAACCGACTGTATATAGAAGTTGATTTAGTAGTCAGTTTGATAAGCCAAAGGCGTCAATGCAATCCCCCCAATTGCTGATATTCTCAACAAGAGTTTCTCATGCAAACTCCATTAAATGCCATATATAGATGAACACATTCGGGGTTTTGAAAGGAGCCTCTTTGTTGGTCATTAGAGAGGCCAAATCTAACAGAAGTTCTATGTTCTCTAACAACAGATATTTTGGTCTTTTTCTTGAGAAAAAAAAAAAACACAACAGATGTTTTGGTATTCTTGAGTCAAATTAGGTGAATGTAAAAAATCTAATTCGGTGATAAGCTAGTTTGTACCCCGAGGGTTTTAATTATTGAGTTGAAAAAAGTGAAATTTAATTTGTATATAAAAAACTAAAGAAAAACATATATGGAGACTTGGAGAGAGGGAAGATAGTTATCAGTATTATTGAGACTAGACTTTGAGAGAGAATGCAAGGGATTTATTAAATCAAATTGAAACAGGGGATCAGCATATCGAAACCGAATCCCCAACTCAATCGATTGTCCAACTCAAGCATGATATGGCTCCGTAGAGACGCTTCCAAGCAAGGGTGTTAATGGATTGATTTTGGATTGGACCCCGTCTAGTCCAAAATCAATTTGGATGGATCGGACAGACCAATAAGACATATTAGATTGAATTAATTCGGTCCAAAATATTTATTAGAACGGATTAGACCTGATCTGTCCATAACAACTTTATATTGGATTGGGTTAGATTAAGCCAATATCTGATCCATTAATATAATATAAGAGTATATGTGTTAATGGACCAGATTTAGATTGAAATCAATTAAATCAAAATAAATTTAAACAGATTGGATGGTTCAAACATTGAATTGGATCAATTCAAATTGGTCCAAAACATTCATTAGATTGAATTGAACTTGATCCATTTAT